TCTGAGTGGACTGCTGTAAGCTGGTGTCCTGCAACAGCAGGGGGGGTGGACCCAATCGCCTTCATAGCCCCTTCCAACTCTACTGTTCTATGATTCTAATTAGTAGAAACACACAGTGTTAAAGTGTTAATGTTTGACTGTGGACAGAAGACCAGGAACACTCTACAGATTCTTAATGCAGCCAAGGCAAATCAGTGTTTATATTCTAATTTAATACATTCTCAAGGGAGAGCTAAAACTATCTTTCTATAGTTTGGATGTAGAAAAAGAAAAAAAATCTGCAGGTCTTTTGAAGTTCAGAATGTTTCACAACTCTTCACAACAGCAATTAAGGTTTGGGAAGTAACAGGTCTACTTACTTTCCCTAAACTACTCCTACTAGTACTGCACTGCAAAGTAAAGTAGTGCATAATGAATTTTCTGGGGACAGACATGTGGGAAGATATTGTGATAGGGAGAGCCAGAACATAAAAGCAGGTAGCTGAAGTTATTTAATTATGTTAAATATTACTATAGTATAATGAAATCGCATAACTTTTTAAAAGCTGTCCATCCCAATGCACTTGCATCCCTGGGCAGACAGTAAAAACCAGGACTTCATATAGAGTGACATGTGTATTAGTGCTTGCATGTTTTACCTGATACCAAGGCTACTTCCAAGTTACAGGACCTCCAGAAACATGTGGAGGGTTGGGCACACACGCTTGCTTCCATGTTCGCCTCCCTGATGTGTGTTTACCTGCTAGCAGGGCTATGTCCAGGAAGTTACAGGCCATTCAAATTTTATGGCAATGCCATGTTAGGTTCCCCAGGGTTTGTGAGAAAACTGGAACTACTTCTCAGATGCTGTCATTGTTGCGAGAGGGGCTAGGAGCATGAGAGAGCAAAATGGCAGTACCTGTGCTTGTGGGTGCTCAGTGCTGCTACCTCTCACCTTCCTAAGTAAAACAGTGAAGGCAAAACCAGGATTGTTACCCCTAGAGGAGTTCACATTGCCATAGAAAAGCAAATAGTATCTAGGATGAATCCAAAAGAGACAGTGAGGGTGTGTGTGCCTGAAGCAAGCTTGAATCACATGTTCTAGTTGGCAAGTGAGGTGTTACTACTGCAAGATAACAATGATCAACAGAGTAAAAGTACAGAACACGGGCGCCTGCCTCAGAGGTCTATGAGATTCATGCCTTCGCAGGTTCTATAAGAACATGCACATTTACTTTGAAGTTTATGCATTTGTTACACTGATAGCGTGTCTTTTCCTCCAAGGGGCCAAAAAAGCATGGCTCCTCCTCCTCTCTATTTCATCTTTAGAAGCATCCTGCGAGGTAGGCTGGGCAGAGAGTGAGCCACTAGCCCAAGGTCTCCCAGTGAGCTTCATGGACACTCTGATCCTAGGCCTCACTGATTCCCCACATGTTGTATGGCTGGCCCTGGAGGGGAGGGTGCCATCCACCCAGACCGGCATTGTTTCTCAGGGGCCTTTCAAATGCCTCCAGAAGCGTCTAATGAGGCAGGAATGTCATGATGATCAGTCGCCCTCACAATTTGTTCCTGTATGTCTGGTGCTCAAGGTACTCTGCCACTGAAGATGGAAGTTCCACTTTTCGGTTGTCAGGGATAATAATCACCGACAAAACCAGACTTTCTTCAACTATATCACTGAACAGGAAAGCAGGAGGATAGCACACATCTGTGTGTGTGTGTGTGTGTGTGTGTGTGTGTGTGTGATTCCACAAGCACAGCTGTCTGGGGCTCAGATGTCTGCTGCAATTCAAAAACCTGGATTAGGTCTGGGAAAGCAGGCTGCTATGGGCTACTGCAGGGGTCCCAGACCAGCCCTCCAGAAAAGTCGGCTTTCTGTTCCCTGAGCACAGATTATTTTGTGCTTACCCAGCGTTTGCATGTTCCTCCACTCTAAAAGGTTGAAACGCTTCTTCTAAAGTTTGGTTGCTGGCAGTAAAGGATTGCAGCTAGAACATGCCAGCCTGTTTTGCATGTTCGCCGTACTCATTTGCCTTTCGTCAGACCCATCACTGGAATGCTACTCGAGAGCTTTTCCAAAAGTGAATATGCCCCTCAGGCAGAAAGAGACTCGACAGCCCTAGACTACTGGATTGGGGGAATGTTCCTTCCAAAGGAACCTTGAAGCCTGTTTATGTGGTAGATCATAATGTGCTGGACTGGGGCAAATTCCTTTCATTAGGCCAGTCCTCACTGGTGGGACTGCCTATGGCTTTAGAGAGATGTTTACTAAGTGTGGGTAGAACCTACAACTGGCCAGGTTTACTGGATAAAGGAGTATGCTATCATCTCTGCAGAGTACGTAGCAGCCGAGTAGAAAACTAGGCTGCCTAAATGCCACCAGATTGCACATTCCACCGCATCTCTCCTCAGTCACAACACAACATGCCTCTTCAAAGCTAGCCTCCGAGAGCCACTTTCAACAGCTCAGCAGTGCGCTATGGCGCAATCTGGCACCTGCTGTCCTGGCGGCTGCACTGTGGCAGCTTTGCTGAGTGTGTGTGATCAGGGCAGCCGCCTTGTGCATGCTCTCCAGGTGCTCCTTTCCGCAGCATGCGCCAGTGAGGGATTTACCAACTCAAGTCATGCTGAACGGGTCGAGCCAGGAGGGAAGGGCCTTGCTACACCACACGCTCCACCACATCTAGACACTAAATAAGCTGCTCATCTTGCCATCTGGGAAGGAATGGAAAATACATGTAGCAGCAGCAGAGTGATCAGAACTGGTGCTGTCTGCGTGGGCAAGAACAGGTCAGCCACACCCCTATTTTCTGGAAAGAACAAAGCTATAAAAAGTAAGACTGAAACTGGCAGATACGATCCAGCAAACACAGCAGGTGAACAGCCATTTCCACAGGGACCCAGCCAGCAACTACTCTGGCCAGAGAACTCCTTTAAGGAGGGGTAAAAGACAGTAGGCCAAGCGTCCTGCTTCTGCACACCTGATGGTCTCTTGGAAAGTCTCTCTTCAACAGCTCTTGCTCCCTCCTCTTGCTCTTCCTGGTTTGCAACAGATCTGGCCAATTAGCATACCCCCCATTACCGGGGGCTTGCTCAGAAACCCGCGCAAGGGGTGCTGTTGCGAATGCAGTCTGCGCTGTGTTCACAGCGTGGGCTACGCTCAGTCTGCGGAGAAAACACTGGGGAATTGTACTTCCAAAATAGTTCTGAGTAAACAGACAACCTGCCTCAGAAAGAATGTAGAATGCATGCATATTTTTATGGGAACTATTTCATTTCTAAAACACAGGCCAGTGTTTTGCAAAGTAGAAGGCAGTGTGGCTTTAAAAACAAGATGTGCCATTAATGCACGGGGAACCTGAGCCTATCGCAGTGTTGAACTCTGACTCCTGTCAGCTCCAGCCAGTAGGGCTAATGCTCAGGGATTATGGGAGCTGTAGTCCAACAACTTTTAGAGGTTACAGGTTAAGGAGTACTTTGGGAACACTGTCAGCATCCATACTTTTTGCTCTTGTGTTCCTTTGCAAAAACGTCCAGTCATCTCACATGCATTATTTAACCTCACATATAAACTAATGATTTTCAAAGGATACGTATAAACAGGGCAGTTCTGCTTAATTCCATGTTTAAAGGAATTAAGTGGCCCCAGTGAACTAAGAGCTTGGCTGTGGTTGTTCAGCTGAAAAGAAAATATACTCTGCATATGCCCAGTGACCTTTCTTCACAATTACATCATAACATTCCAGGAACTAGCCATGGTACTGAGAAGAGATTCGAGATTATGACTGGGTGCAAATTAAGGCCTTGAGAATAGTGCAAGAGACAGACAGGGATGGAGCTGTGGGAGTACAGTTCATTTCCAGAACCAAAGGGATGGAAATAAATGAATTCCAAATTTAGACAAAAAATAAGTTGGCAAGCCTCTTAAGTTGGGAAACATCTGACTGAAGAAACAGCCCTCTCTTTAAATAGTTTATATTTCCATTTTGTATTGAGCAGAAAACTGATCTGTGATAAGAAATGTGCCAACCTCATCCTTAGGGAGTATCCCTTGTTTTTGAGGCATGTATTCCTTTTGATAAAAGCTGTATTTTATATTAAGGAGCTTCCAAGCTTGTGATAATAGAGTAAGAGATCATGTTCAGTTAACCACCACTGAAAGATTATGCCAATAAAAGACGCAAATTCATGACAAACTGTAGTTAGCCACGCACATGTGCAATAACAGACACATAAACATGCATGGGGCACGGCTCCAAAAGGATTTCCGATATTCCTGAGTCTAGTCTTTTGGAACAAAGCTGTCTGTGTGGCAGTCCAGGAGCAAAAGTGTCATGTGGAATGAGAATTTTCACACCCCGTTCCCACATTTTGGATTAGTCTGCTTTCCCCCTCAACTGTTGCCCATAACTCTTCTGCATGCAGGTAGCTTGCTTTGCCTTCAAGTGCTGAAAGTGAACCCCTGTAATCACAACTTGCTTTTGCACCTGCAGTTAGCATACTGATAATCTCTCTTGAGGCTCCTCACTTCTAAAAAGGGAAGAATTGGGCTTCAGGGTTCAGGTTGGCAGCACCCTGTAACTTTACGATACAGAAGTCTGGCTATTAAGCAAGATGGGTACACTTCAGATCACGATGACTCCGAAAAAAAAGAAAATCTTTCTGTACATGCTCAGGGGTAAACTGGCTATTTCACTGGCATTCCAAAGGGAAGAGGGAGAGTATCCTGCTCCAAGCCCTACATTTTAAGCAGTCCTAGTTCGAATCAAAACTGAAGCATCGCTGAACAGGTTGCACCCCGTTTTTTTGTTTCTGAAAATTATGATCTGGCAGAGAAAAGTGAGCAGAAAAATGAAGGGGCGGGTCTGAAATGTGCAAAAGAATCCCACGTATTCGAACGCTTCCCAAAAAAGCAAAGCGAAGGCTTGCAGGGTTCGGCTAGGAGAGGAAGTGGTGAGTAGTGGTCACCCCAGCGGCCACCTCGCTGCCTGCCTGTGCGTGCGCGTGAGAATGCTACTCACCATTTCCTGCCTGAGGAGGTGAAGTTTGGTCTCCAGTCTCTCCAGGGCGCTGGAGTTGCCGCTGAGTATGGCGGCTCGCGGGGGCACCAGGGCGGCGGAGAAGCCGGTGGCGCCAGGACCGCCGCCGGCTTGCTCGCGGTCCTTCTCCCTGTCGCGGGCGACGGCCGGCTCCTCCCCCCGCAAGGAGCGCACCAGGCTCTCGGGGACTTTGCGCCCCAGCTTGAGCTCGATGTCTCGGAGATCTGGCAGCAGGGCGCAGTCTTCCATGGCTTGTTAATCAAGCAGGCTTTTCGGATTAAGGGAGCTGCGATCGGCGGCGGCGGCGGCGGCGGCGAAGACGAGATCCAAGCCTTCAGCCGCACCGCCCGGCACTCGCCGACTTCTCCATGTTAGCCCCGTTTAGGTAATCCGCCACAGCAGCGCCAGTCAGAGGCGGGGGCGGGCGGGAGCGGAACCACAACAAGCCGGCCAGGTGACCCGCCGCGGGAGACGGCCGGAGTAGCCGCCGCTCCTGCTGCTTTCCGGCAGCAGCTGCATTATCTGGACTGCAAACTCCAGCCGTTGGGGGGTTGCATGAGCAAAACGCCCAAACCAAACAAAAAGCCGGAGCACAATGCGAGGCGGACGCGCGGTCAGGCGGCCGCGGAACGCGGGCAGCGCGCAGTGGAGACTTTTTCTCGCGCGTGTGTCGAGTTGGCGCTAGCCGTGCGCGGGCAAGCGGCGATCCCCCTGGAGGATCGGGTGGCAAAACGGGGCTCACGAGATTCGCTCGCTCGCTCGCTCGCTCCCTCCCCCTCCCCCGCCTTTTCTTTCCAGTGGCCTGGTGTTATACTGAAGTGAGCGTCCCGGATTAATAGGAGCTCAGCCCGATGACCGCTTTCAGTGCGCGCCTGTGCGTAGAGCTCCCTCTGTATTCCCCAGCAATTATGCAAGCGCTGCTCTTCCTCGCCGAGGCAACCGGACTGGCTTGGCGATATTGCCAGTTCCATAGGAGTCGTTGGCGTTCGCCTGAAAAAGCCTGAAACTTTAAACCGTAGTGGCAGGTGGACCTGAGAAGGGACAACCTTCTACCGTAATGTCTAGACAAGGAGCTCCTCCGCGGCTTCCCCAGACCCGCGCACGAAGTGGGGGTTTGCTGCAGACGATCTTCACCTACCTGCCTGGACGCGACGGCGCAGAGGGGTCCCTGGGTAATTCAAGCCCTGGACTTCACGGCCTTGCGGGAGCGCCGGCTTTTGCAACTACAGCTTCATTCCTGGGACGTTAGAGCTGGGCAGGGAATCTGTGGTCCGCCAGTGTGTGGGACTCCAGTTCCTAGCAGCCCCAGCAAACTCAGCCATCGGTAAGGAGAAATGGAAAGAGAAGTTAATTAGCAACAACAGCTTTCCAGGACCCTAAATTCGAGCAGAAGAGAATAGCATCTCTCTGCTCTGAACACCAACAGGCACACATTTTAAATGCTCTTAAATCATGGAACAAGCACAATTAAGGGAAAAATGGAGACTGGGGATGCTTTAGAATCCTTCAGCTGTAGTTTTGTTTCCAGACTCCTTTTTATATATATCTTATATATATATCTTATATCTGCAAACCCTGAAGTCCCCTGCAGCTTTGGATAACTCACTTTGCAGTGTGACCTTTCAGAAAACGAGTTTGCAGTTAGTGTATAAGCAAGGCAGCTAGCTGGAGACCCTCCAGCTCCCTCAGCCTAGCAAATAGTTGGGGTGCTGGGAATTGTAGTCCAAAACATCTGAAAGGCAGCAGGTTGCCTATCCCTGGTGTATAGGATCTAATCAGTATGTACATAGGCAGTGTTATCTACATAATTAATAATGATAATACTTTGACTACGACTAATATATGCACAGCAATAAAGGGAAATCAACTGCTGTAAAATGTAGAATGTTTTTAATGTTCTTTTTTTCTCTTACTTAAATTGGACATGGAATTATAGACTTGGAAGTGATCTCAAAAGTCATTTAATCTACCCACCTTCTAATGCAGGACCTGGTTTAGCCAAATTGATCTTTGCATTTAGAATGAAATATTGCAAACAGCACTGGCAAGTATGGGAATTAAAAGACATCTGAATGAGGCATTTAACCCTTTTCTCTTGTCCAGGCCCTCTTCTGGGGTGGGGGGGGGGGAGAAGAGTCCTTGTTAACCCTACTAAGTGCTGTGCAGTCTTGTACACCATTTTCTGACCTGGTCACCCAGCCCACCAGAATAAAATGGAGCGAAAGACTCATAGAGCTCCTGTGTCTGCTGGCTGACATCTTCTAATGTTCTGCAGCCTCTCCTGGTCAGCCTTTCTCAAAAAAAAATCTATCACATTCTTTGCTCCTCGCTTATAGCCTACCTTATCCCAACACTTTCTGTGCTGTTTTTCCAGGTAACAAAGGCTGGCCTTCATTCAGAGACAGCTGTCAGTGTGACTTCTTTCTTCCTAAGGAATGCTGCAACGGGGGCCTGACACAGGGCAGCACATGGGTGGGCAGTGGTAAATGGATGGTCTGCAGATTTCTGTATGGCCTTCTCTCACCTCCCTAAGGGATTGTGCTCCTGGGCTGCATAGCTCAGAGGCACTGCCCTGTGATCAGGGGTCAGGAAGCCATATTGCGTACCGTTCCAGATACTGACGCCTGTGGGCCTGCCACTCCACCGATATACTGGCAGCTAGAAACATTACCCTGATGGAGGAAGTACACCTGCCTGCAGGCTCCCTGGTGTGACAAGCCTGGGGGAATTCCAGAAACATCACTACCACTCCGGAATGAAGTGGTGAAGAATGGCTAAGGCCAGAAGGGGCAGGACAGAATCCATCCCATTATGTTAACAAAACCCCCCTGCAAGCAAAAGCTAGGCATATCAGAAAGCAGGCCTCGTCCCCGTCCCCCCCAAGTGCTTCTGTCTAGTGTGTTTGTTCATTTTAACATTCTAGAAGGAACTGGAAACATCTGAAACAGCACCCTACCTAAAATATAAACTGGCACATTCCACTCAGGACTATTGCACTGCTAGAAGGAGGGTGGCTGTCTATTGCTTCAGCAGTATCCTTCTAGAGCCCAAAAAGACTGACAACTTCAGTACTAATATACATAATGTTTGGTGTGTAAGAGTGAAGCGTTAATTAAAGGTAAAGGTTTCCCCTTGGCATTAAGTCCAGTCATGCCTGACTCTAGGGGGTGGTGCTCATCTCCGTTTCCTAGCGGAGGGAGGCAGCGTTTGTCCGCAGACAGTCTCCGTGGTCATGTGGCCGGCATGACTAAACACCAAAGTGCACGGAACGCTGTTACCTGCCCACCAAAGTGGTACCTTTCTATCTACTTGCATTTGCATGCTTTCGAACTGCAAGGTTGGCAGGAGCTGGGACGGAGCAATGGGAACTCACCCTGTTGTGCACATTCGAACCGGCAACCGTTTGATCAACCAGCTCAGCAGCACAGTGATTTAAACCACTGCACCACCTGCTGTCCCAAAGTGTTAATACAATCATGTTGATATAAAAAGAAAAACCTGCCCCAGAGGTCAGATGTGTGCAGAATGCTGTTCTGTGCACACCTTTCCAGAGCGGTGTGCCTTAATTCCCGTGGCACTGCTCTATCACATGTGAATCTGGTGTTGCTGCCATGTAGCTCTTTTCTGAGGTTTCCCACATGAACTGTCTGCTAATTGCTCATCAGGAAAGATTTCTGGCCCATCAAGGAGCACAACAACTGAATTCTTCCGTGTGCCTGAAATCATTAAAAAGGCATTGCTGCTACCTGTACATGGGTGACAGACCTGAGGGCCTAATCAAACCTCCTTCGCCTGCTGTCTTTTCTTCTTCCACTTAGGCTGAAGAAAAAGGATTCCCCTGAATTTATTACATGAGTGCTGTGTGATAGGGAACGTGGAGCAGGGTCACAGGGGCACTTTTCGCTGCTCTTTAAGAGTAGCAGCTGATCTGCTTCCTGCCCCCACCGCTGGCCCCGCCACAGGGAGGCCTCAACCCACAGGGATGGAACATAATATTGTCTTTGTCATGGAGAATGAAAAACCGTAATCCAAAACATCACAGGGCAGCTAATCTCTTTACATCATCAGGACACACGCCCATTGTTAAAATAATCTGCAAGGCTACCTACGTGTAGGGACAAAAGGACATGTGACACTTGTGATGACTCCATCTTTTTTTTTTCTTTGTTCAAAAACTAAAGAATAAGACCAGCACATGTACCTTTGCTTGTAAACCTTTGCCTCTGTGCTCTTTCTCTCTAAATATTACTGACTGTCAAGTTTAATTTCTTTAATACTACCCAGAGCCTATGGGAATGGGGCAGTACAGAAATATTAAGATAAATGCATATCACCCCCCCCCCCACACACACACACACATTTCCCTGCTACATGGGTTGGCAGTTGGACTGACCAGTGGTCAGGGATGACAGATGTTGTGGTCCACAGTTTTCTCACCCCGTCTTAGATAAATCAGAATCTACCCTTTGTTGAAAACTCCCATTAGAATTAATGGGCTGCATTGTAGTGGCTTAGAACAACTTTGATGCCAAATTATCACAGCATGCAATTATCTTAACAGGAGAACAACTGCTATCGATACTGGAATGAAGATAGCATCTTTTTGTTCACGCTTCTGACAAGCACACTTTCAAGGAAAGAAAGAACACAACAGAAATTGTCAAAAGAGGATAAGAGAAGGGAAATTAATTAGAACGAAGGACTGATAACATGGTAGTTAAGCAGGGGTTTATACACAGCATCTAAATTATATTGTCATTCTCTGACGGGTGCTTCTCTTACCATAATGTCAGCCCTTTTATGTCTCTCCTGTTTTCTTCTTGTGAGGAACTCAAAGCTGTTTCCATGGTTCTTCTTTCCATGTTATCCTCATAAGAACAACACTGCGAGGTAGGCTAGGCTGAGAATCAGTGACTGGCCCAGAGTTACCCAAAGGGCTTCTGAGGCTAGTGGGCCAAGAACCCAATCCCTCAGGTCCCCAGTTCTACACTCTCAGCACAGTACCAAGTCAGCTCCCACAATGACAACCTCAGTTCTGCTGGTACAAGATCTTCAGCCAGAACCACACCACACATGCACAGGACGAGTGTCACAGGAGAAAGGGAAGCAAGGACTTCAAAGCACGTCAAAACTGCAAAGCACCTCTTAGGGGGAAAAGCCCCTCTGGGTGGGAACCCCAAAACAGCCTAATGAGGATTGAGTCAGAATGCTGGCTGATGGTTTGTGGGGGACAAACCAATGGTGCGGGGGGAGAAGGGATGGAATAGAGTAGTGGAGATTGTGTATGGCAGAAGCAGGGATTGTGTACAGCAGAAGCAGGCAAGCTGTGCCCTGAAGATGTTTT